CAGGAACAATGCCCTAAAATATTGGTAGAGAGTTCCGGGACACCCTGTATAGTGCAGTTATGTATGCAGTTATCCTTGGCCAAGATAGTTTTGTAGCATTATTGACCAGACGACCTTTTTAGAGTTTATTGTAACTTTCATTATTATCTGGGAATTATTCAACAATTGCAGTGAAGATACAAGTGTAAACCCCTATTTTCTTCTCATATATTGACATTAAATCCAGCTGTCACTACCAACCGAATTATATACGAGTTAATATTACAAAGTAGCATAAAGCAATATTGCAACTGTTGAATTTTATAATGTATCAATAGTTTTATTTCAAATAGTAACATTTAAAGCTAGAAGTATCTGTAAACAGAGCGATCCATATGTTCCCTATGACATCACATACACTCCCCCGTTGAACAACAAATAAATAAGTAGTTATATACAGATTATATAATATTTATATTCATCATGTGATGTTTGGTTAACTTATATCACTTTTAAACTGGTTGTAGTCAAAACATTGAAGCATCTGCATTTATCTTACAGTGTTGTCACACTTTAGGTATTGGAATGTTCTGAACAATGAAGAGTTGGTTTGACCTACTTTATAGCCACAACTTAACAAGATGTTTTCGTACTTCTAATATACTGTTTTTATTAAACAACATTTGCCATAGAACGTGAGTTTCCCTTAGCTATGTTGCAAATCTATGAGAACTATAAATTGTTTAAATTGGTACATTGTCTAAAGAAATAAACTGTGTAAATATTGTTATTGGCCTTGAATTGTGTCTAAAATTAACTGTAATCAGAAGTTTAGTCATTCTGTAGCTCACGTGGTCTTTAAATGTGGCTAGATACTTTTAATTTTCAAGTACAGTATTAGGAACAGAGTGCTATATTGACCCATTGAAAAGGTTTTAACTTACGAATATTTAGGAAGGAATTATAGACCAACAATAATCAAGTGTGCCACATGTACCGTTTTAAAAACAAAACTATGAAAAATTATATATGCTGTGGGGAAATAGAGCCATGTGCTCAATTTGAATCACTGCGGAAGAGTGAACACCTCACCTATGTGTAATCAGTCTTGCAATACGGAGTTGTGGGGTGAGCTGGTGCATCCCTGCCTCCCTGCCCCCCCCTCAGTACTACAGCCACTAAAGGGTAATACAGCATTATTTAGTAGACACTATACTGAAAAAGGGCAAAGCTGTTCTACTGATCTGCTTGTGACGTAAAATTCTAGGGGGGTAATAAACTGGTATTTACAAAGTCAGGCTAGGGGTTCCCCTAGAACCAGCCACACTAACATTTCTTCCCCGGAGTGCTCAGAAGAAGCCGGTAAAAATCCAGGGGTCGATACGAAGTTGTTCACGGTTTTGACTGATCAATTTATTAAATTTAATTGAAGGCTCAGAGCTCTACAAACACTAAGGGAATACTGCAGATTTTGGGTTGGAGCTATTTCATCCCACCTTTATTTAAGTGTTTTGGGGAAATGTTTCCTAACTTTTTGACCTACTCTGTAGGGCAGACGAGTATTCTGTCTGAGCCAATTTGATAAAACTACTGGTAAACCTTTTAACTATTGGCTAAAGACGTTGGTAAATAATATAAAATAGAATATACTGTAAAAAAATTCCTACAGAGTATATAGAGCCTAATTAATATAAACGAAGAATTTCGCATGATACGGTTAAAATACATTTAATCCTGACATTCGTAATTATTAATTGTTCAAATCTGAACGCTTTAAGGACTTGGTTCTATTACCCGCCGGGGTTCAGAACTCAGATGACTAGTCTCTGGGTACTAACACGACAAATTAACTAAATTAAATTAACGTAATAATAATTCGTTAAGCGGACGGAGTAATCGTAATTTCGTAACTAAATTATTTAAACCGAACTAGACGATAGCCACCTCTAGTCACTGGCAGGCAGGGACTGGCAGGTCTGAAGCAAGACGGCAACAATCTATGTTATTATTTTAAGTTATTAAATTTAGATATTTTGAATCGGGATTTAAGGAAACGAAAACGTGTTACAGATTAAGAATGCATGTGAAAAATGAAAATAACGTAAAACGTCAAAAAGGGCCTATTTAGTAAAGTAGCTAACCTTCGCAAATGAATTAACGATGTTTGACGTGTAAGCGTAGGTAGCAATGACGATGTCATTTCGAAGACGGCGTACGAACGAATCATCTTGTCTTCAAGTAAAATCCTCTCATTCCAGTCCGGTCGAGGCTTACGCGCTCAAGCGGCGAACTTAACTACTATAAACTAGACAACAGCTGATCGAAAATTCACTTGTTAGGCCGGTCTAGTTTTGTCTGTCGTCTGTCAACAAATACCATTTTGTGTTATGTTGTGTAGTCGTCGGCGTTAAATATTGGTAAAATCGATCGGTTTCATTTGACACGTACACTAAGGAAACCGGATGTGTAGTTAACAGAAAACGTAGACCTACAATACATAGGTCCACAGAGGTCTCTTTTTAACCATATTATTCCAAATAACACTTAAACTCATAGATCACTATTCAACGATACATAACAGGTGATCTGAAATGAAGTAAAGAAAAAAGAGATACCAGCATGAGCTTTTTTTTGTAAATAAGTTTTTACATAGGTCTACCTTATTTACAAGACATACAATCAAAATTTTGGTAGAATGGTAAATTTACAAGGCATACTTCACAACACATCAAAGTTATATTCCGTCGTCTGTTTTAGTTTATGTAATTAAATGTATCGGTTTTTATCCGTCATTGTCAACACGTAACATTGGATATTATCCTTGGCATTGTTTACTAATGAATATACTTACACACAAATACGCATGTCTTCGTAAGCATGTTTTATCCTTATTGTGTGTGTTAACAGTAGTTATAGTGTGTATGATACAAGCTGTCTCCTGACCTTCAGTATACGAAATATTCTATACTTTATACTTGAGCAAAAGAATTCTCAAGCTTGTGGGGAAGATAACATGTGAATAATTAGGGCGAGGTGCGCCGAGTTTGGGCTTATAACCGGGTCAGCTCCAGGTAGACGAAGGACCAGGAGACAGGTTACATCATACAGACTATAGTTACAGAGGCTACTATCCGGTCTAGGTAGCTGCAGAAACATTTCTGCTGACAGGGGCAGTGATAAGGCTCCCCACATAGATGAAGGACACGATAACAAACCGTTTGTTGTTAGAACATTCTGTTAACTTTTAAAGTCCTCTACCAGCAATACCATTTCTAAAAATACGGACTACAATGATGAAATAAAATGTCGTGTTATTAAGGTATCCTGAAAAACAAAATTCTCCATTAATGGAAAATTTCAAGAGTATTTTACCATCACACTTGAAAGATAAACAAGGTTTTGACTCAAGTTTAAACAAGATAATTTACCTTTGCCTTTATCATAAGTTGGTGATAAGGATATTAAATCATTTGACATATTTATTAAATTATATATTTTTCTTTTATTTTTTTATTATTTTTTACCCCATTCAAGTACAAATCTAATATAACCTCATTAATTTTAGTACAATGGTATAAAAGGTACCTTATTACACACACAAATGAGTTACAGTATACGTATACAGTATAATATTGAAAATAAACAATATTCTTGTTAGTGTCTGTTTCACAAAACATAAAGAAACGTAAATAAAGATTTAGTTATCAGGCATATTCCAGCTAAAAAAATGGTTTACTTTTTAAACGTATTGATAGAAACAGTAGTTTAAAACTATAAATAATAATTAAGCTATACTGCTTTTATGGATAACAATCTGAAACTAAATTATGTCTAACAGGTTTCCATATAAAAATATATCATAGTTCACAATAAAACCTACCACTGTATTAAAGCATAGACTGTTATCTTGCAGTTAAAGGAACATAGTATAATAAACTAAATAATACCACCCATTACTGGATTTATTTTAACGTATTAATAAAGTATAAAGTAATATAATACACATTTCTTTGTGCAATTATAACTCATTTGATTCTGTTCTAGCATATAAAAAGCCCCATTAAATGTACTGTTCAAAAGCTGATTAACTTGTAACGTATATATATATCCATATATATATATATATATATATATATATTCGTATATCGTTTTAATGTTTTTCGTTGTAACCCTCACATTTGAACAAACAATTAGGATATTATTAGGTTTATTTATTCTATAAAACGTTTGTGACTTTTTTTAATGGACTTCTTAAAGTTCTGTGATTAAAACAATATATTTCTTGTGGATTTGTTTGACAAATAATAACATTGATGTTGAATGGTTAACTACTTAATTTTTCCTGGATTAATAAGAGTTAACAAAAAATAGTTTTCACACTTGTAATTCACGAGACTTGAACCATGTCATAGTGTCGCAAATATATAAATATATATATATATATATATATATATATATATATATATATATAACAAGTTAGATATCTACCTTAGGCGTATATATAACTCTTTTATTCATTTACTAAACAAAGGTAATATATTTCAAGATGGATTGTATTTATATCTACAATGTGTTCTACTCTTACACTGTATAAAGCCAAACCACGATCAGATTTGTATGTGAGACCACATATCAAAATTTAAGGATATATTTATGCTAGAAAACCCCATATTCAACAAATAGTTACATTATATCTACTACAATAATAAGAACCAAGGGGACTTTATAAGTATCAAGGGGGGTTCATATGTATAAACTTTTTAGGTAGGGTTTTGGTGATTGAGATTATTATCGATCATAGTTTATTTTTATTGCACTACTCTCACCACAGTAGCAGCTTCAGTTATTTTGCTTTAGAGATTAGTTATGCTAAATGGCATCCTTGGGAAGTCTCTCATGTTTGGTTGCACACATTGTTTGGTGGTTTGACACAATTTAACATCAATAAAACAATAAAAAATTAATTAAATGTGTAGAAAATCAACTACTGTTTACAACTAGTAAATATATTTTGTTATCATTCGTCATAAACAACTAAATCAAGCTGACACAATAATGACTATTTAAATCTTTTAAATCTGTTGAAATATCCTGTTTCTTTACGGTTCCATGATCAATATCTATCAACAATCTTAATTCTTTATTAAAAACATCCGTTTCAACAATGGAACAACACAAACTAATGACGAAGCTTTACAATTCACAGAAAACAGAATACTTTTAGTTTTAGAGAAACACATTATGAATTTACAGGGTGGTTTAGTGTGTTTACAATGTCTGGATGTAGGGTAGAAATATACTAAGTGGCATGGTATATCTGTGTACAATAGGGCTATTTCACAGTCACAGAAACACAATCATAGAATGGCTAAGAGTCTTTTGCTTGCAATGATATGAACTGGCAAAAGCAGATAACACTTAGATTGTCCTGAAGATACCTGAAAACGCGATACCTCCATATCCACCACCAACTATCGCTCTCCCTTCAAATGCAACTCCACCTATATCTCCCTCTCTCCTGCCAAATGCACCTCTACATTTCTATGTACCCCCTCAAAATGCAACTCTACATGTCTCTGTACCGCCTCCAAATGCACCTCTACACATCTTTGTATTTCCGCCAAATGCACCTCTACTACTCTCTGTACCCCCTCCAAATTCATCTCTACATCTCTATGTACCCCCTCCAAATACACCTCAACAGCTCTCTGTACCGCCTCCAAATGCACCTCTACATATCTTTGTATTTCCGCCAAATGCACCTCTACTACTCTCTGTACCCCCTCCAAATGCACCTCTACATCTCTCTGTACCCCCTCAAAATGCACCTCTACATCTCTCTGTCTCTCCTCCAAATGGACTTCTACATCCCTCTGTCTCTCCTCCAAACTCACCTCTACTTCCGCCTCCATATCCTTCTCCATCTGTACCTCCAGTTCAAGGACAAGGGACTCTTGTAGCTTGTAGAGTATGTAGATCAAGGTAAACCTGTACACAAGAATCAGCTAGTTAACCTAAACCTTGGTCTTGAACTTCTACAAAGAGGGCTACTACGATGATAACATGAACATTGTGTATATAAATAAGTAATAATTAGTACTACAATACTCTTATTTACCTTTTTATTTCTTAGTTAAATTACATACAAACAACAAAAAATTTTAATTTTAGGATATATAACATACAGCCGTTATAGTTGTAGCCTTTTTGACAATAAAAATTTTCAATGTTACAAGAATCCTAAACTGAGCAGAATTATAAGGAAATCCCAATTCAAGGCCCCCTTTTTACTCTGAGGATGCGACCGACGGTGGACGCCGCAAGATTGTGCGGTGGTAGCAGCTGTGATAGGGGTGTCAGGATTACTTGCTTAGGGATTTATATTAACCTTTAAACAGGCTTTAAGTTAGTTTAGAGATGGAAAAGAAGTATTTTATTATTTATTATATGTTACGAATAATACTCTTCTAGCTGAGCACAAAAAGCTCATACTGTGGTTTAAAAAACTAAACTAATTAGCTCGTTTATAATAATACTACCATACAAATAATCTTATTGTGCATAGTAAGATAATTATTTAAGAGTGTATGAAATATTATTATGTGAGCATTTAATCAAATGCCTAAATAATTATCAAACTTTGAAATCATAACAAGCAAATAATGTAGGTGTGTTTTTGGAATGGTTAGGTTTTTATCATGTTGGCAGCACTTGACAGCGCCGCCGCGGAGTGTCGCAGAGTAAAAATCGTGATGCACCTTGTGGCCGAGTGTTTCTGTGACTCGTAGGTGTGACGTCATACATCTAGCCCGACGCAACGATGTGCGGTGGCCGCCACATGGTATAGAAGCTCCCTTTTAACTCAATTCAATATAATTCATTTATTTCCACGGTAACACCAATTTACAAAAAGGTACAGTAAGTAAGTTATCGAACTAAAACTATTAACAACAAATAAAGGCTATGATTGAATAAATAACAATAACAATAACAAAAAAAAAAACTAAACACAATTTCAGAGCCGCGGGTCGCAGCGGTGTGCGGTGTGCGGTGTGCCGATGAGTATAAAAGAGGCCTAAGTCGAATCCTGACAGCTTAACTAAATTTTTCCCAGCCTATATGGATTAGGCTAATATTGTGATTTTCAGCTACTTGTTATTTTTTCTTTTTGAACTTGGTGACGTTCGATAGGAAATTTCAAATGTCAAATAAAGGTTTCTATGATTTTTTCATGTCGTTATTTCAAAACCAAAATAAATTTGTTGATGATTTTTCTTTCAGGATATAAAAATAAAAATTACAGGCATCTCGATAACTAATTTATTCATGATTTTTTGTTTTATTTGGGTCCAATCTACTAAATTTGCTGTGCTTACTTTCGGGACACTATGTATACTTTTGTATTTACCTTTCATTTTCTTCCAAGCTCTAAGATTGTTCTTACTACAGACAAGGGTTCAAAGCTGGTTGCCTCACGATCACGTAGATACAATGTCAAGAACATTTCGTTGTAACATACTAGATAATTATCCACGTAATTATAACACAGCCACTTTCGAAATCTTGGCGGTAATTACAAGTATAATTAAGCTGGGACGAAAATAAAAAGTAAATAAGCCAATAAGTGTATTTTGTATTACCAGTTTAGGGACAAGCATTCGTGTGTTTAAATGTTTTCTTATTCCTGTTTTTTGTGTAATATTTATTTTGACAAAATCATCCACGGATGACAGCTATTTTATCTTGACGCTCTACAACCTGTAGATGTGCCCCAGCGGCATGAAAAAGCTGCACTTACTACAACATGGATCGTTCGACGCAAAAAGTAACTTAAACCATTTTATATTGCAATTTTCGATCCAGAGGCTAGCCCATCATTAAATAACATAAACAACAGTTTTCGACGTAACGTTTGCCCTAAAATTTACACTAAAAGTATAATAGAATACGATTATGTCAGAAATAATAGTGAGTTTTATATTTAAAAACACCTGAAAATATATTAAGGAAAAAGTGTTTCAACTTTTAAGCAAATTAATATACATTTCATACCTGTAAATCTATTGTACTTTTTTATTTTTGTTATTCATTTTTGTCATCAGACGCTAGGCACCGGCCGGAATGGTTTTTCACATTACTTCAGGCTAGACCTAAGGAATGCGGCATTATCACATGGATAAAATCCATTGGTGATTTGTTGGGATTTAAACCCAGGACCTCTAGAACCGAAGTCCCTCGTTCTAACGACTAGACCAGCTCGCAACCCATTTAACTTTTTATTAGGGTATCGTTGATTCAAAATTTTTAACGAACGTAAAAAATTTGTGGTCTCATTTGTAAGTCGGAATTTCAACATTTCATTTGAACACATAGACAAACCAGTATCCAGTATGTAATCAGATTAATATAATCATCAAACACACACACACACACACACACACACACACACACACAAGACACGAGGAATGGTTTGAGGCGACAGGGCTTAGAATCATGGATGAGAAGTGATCACTCAAGAAATAATATTGATTAACGTACTAAACATATATTTACTTGACAAATGAAATTGTAAAGACAAAGAAAAACTTAATATTCTAAATTTTAAGATGTAAGCTATTACTATTATTATTCATTTGTTCTCATTTTGCCGACAACAAAAGTGATATAATCAAATTTTTCTCACCAATCTTAAAAAGGTGAACCTATTATATAAACATAAACCCAACACTATATTAGACTACAATTACACATGGCTTTTAATTGTAGACTCCTCTTGGCGTTTGAAAACGTTTTCGTTAATTGACAAAAACACATTATTAAACAGAAATCATTAGATTGATCAAAGTTCCCTAATTACTTATATTGGTTAAATAACTTCTTGATCAGCATTGTACGTGTTATTAAATTTACGGAAAGTAAATAAAGATACGTCTTATAACACTTAAAACATATATTTGCGCTTTTACTGTTACTCACAAGACGGTAAATATACAAAAGATGGTAAGTGGTGATCGATTTCGATGGAACACTCCAATCATGATCAGACCCAATAGGCGCACAATATCCTATAGGACACGTCATTCGCCTATTGGGTCTGATGATGATTGGAGTGTTCCATCGAAATCGATCACCACTTACCATCTTTTGTATATTTACCGTCCTGTGAGTAACAGTATAAGCGTAAATATAATTTAACTAGTTAGTATTGACTTAAAATATATTTTAAGTGTTATAAGACGTATCTTTATTTACTTTCCGTTATATCGGTTACATTTGCATATTCATTTTCTGAGGCCTGATCATTTTACTATGTATTGAAATATGTTTGCTTGAAGAAAATGATGACTTAACTGATATGAACCCCATGATCATGAACCACATTATAGCTTTCATCATTAGTGTCGGCGTTTTTTAAAGAACTACCAGCAGCCGCCTGTGGGTCCCGGGTGGGTACTATGGAAGGCAGTGCCTGTGAATGTATGTTTGTGGTGAGTGTAAGTTTCTTTGTGAGTTGTGTAGGTATGAATGGTCTGTGTGAATGTGTTAGGGCCATGTGTGTGGAATATACGTGCCAAGTCTCAGGCATTTCAAATTTATGTGTTATTTTTAATTTGATAATTTCCTATACTTTTAATGTGCAAATTGAACGTGTGCGATATATGCGTGCATACTATTTCTTACATCGTTTTGTAAGGATTAATTGCGTAATCTAGTTTTTATTATTAGTCTCTTGTTGTATACAAAATTCTGTGTACAATATATCTTATTTTCCTTTTTAAATGTAGCCCAAATTTATTGTTTAGTGTGCGGAAGAAAGACTGAAGATCCCCAACCACAGGTTTATAGCCCATTTGGGGATTCTATTTGATTTCATAATTTGTTTTTTGTACCATTTTACTGATTCTCTGTAATGAAATAATAAATAATTCATTTCATTTCATGTACATTCCCCTGAAATTCTTATGTCAAAATTGGTGAAATGGATGAATTTAACTGTTTTACAAAAGTTGACGTGTTAATTAATTGCGTTTAACTTGTGAGTGATGTTATATTTATTTATAATCCACATTTATTTAACCACTTACTACCAACAAAAACACATAAATGAGGACAAAACATTCTAAAACTAAGACTCCATTTAGTGTTCTAAGGTCATTGACTCTTGGACCACTTATTTCCACTGTTGTAACTCATAAGTTTTGAAATCTGATAATTTATTATCTAAAAGGGTTTCAAGTTTCATTCATTCCTAACTTTAAAATTTGACTTTCAGTTTTCAAAATTGTGTATGGATAAGTAACGAATAATCAAACGAGTGATACCATGGATAGAAGAGGCTGCTTTCAGATTTGTCCTTCTTATAAATCAACTAAAGAAGAATTTAAGATTTATTACAGGTCGGCTTACGTCGAATACCAGCATATGTTAAAATATTTTCTTGAAAAAACTTATTTGAATTAAATACAGGGTGTTGAAAATGTCTGGAACCAACATTATATCTCGTGAGTGGTTAAAGAAAAACAACTGACTATGGTTTTACCTATCTTTTAGTGCCTTATAAAAATTTTTACCACTTATAGGGAACGTCCTGTGGAGGATGCAGTAAAAAGTTTTAATGGAAGCCTATGGTAAATTATACATAATTTTAAAGGCCATTTTTTTTCTGAGTAAGGAGCCACAAGTTACATCTCAAAAGGACCACCCTAGCAAAAATGGCGACTGTTTGAAATTTAAAAAAACACTTATAGGGAACGGAATTTTTAAATTTCAAACAGTCGCCATTTTCGCTAGGGTGGTCCTTTTGAGATGAAACTTGTGGCTCCTTACTCAGAAAAAACTGGCCTTTAAAATGATGTATCATTTACCATAGGCTTCAATGAAAACTTTTTACTGCATCCTCCACAGAACGTTCCCTATAAGTGGTTATTTAAATTTCACACAGTCGTCATTTTTGCTAGGGTGGTCCTTTTGAGATGAAACTTGTGGCTCCTTACTCAGAAAAAAATGGCCTTTAAAATGATGTATCATTTACCATAGGCTTCTATTTAAACTTATTACTGTATCCTCCACAGGACGTTCCCTATAAGTGGTAAAAATTTTCATAAGGCACCAAAAGATAGGTAAAACCATAGTATATCCGTACACAAAATATCATTTGTTTTTCTTTAACCACTCACCAGATATAATGTTGGTTCCAGACATTTTCAACACCCTGTATATCTTTAATGATGGTTAATCTAATATAAACGTTGGACAACAATATAACTAAACGTAACCGTGCAAAAAGATATACACACAAACAGAGTATATATTATCCAATAGAACTAACATTTTACTTGAAGTAAATTAGACAATTTGTGCAATCGTCAACTTACTGTGGGTAGTCCATTATCATTAATTTTATTCACCAGAACTAAAATAAAATAGTCCAGAACTATTTTGGTAAGTGATTCGTTCCAAATCACTTATCATCTATAAACTTCTTTTTAAATATATGTGTAATGCTTTTTCCCCTATCACAGTTAACTTAAGTGTTAGATGTAACGGACCAATTTAAAATTTGTATAAAATATCTTGTTTAGAAGTCATACATACGTAAAATAGTGTTTGATTGCAATCTCCAATCAATAACTAAGGTAAAAACCTATATTTTTTATCACTATTCATATTATATAAATAAACAAACTTGATAAGATATTTATAAATTAACAAGCGTCTCAAGTGCGTATTGCAATATTAAAAAAGCTTTCAGTTGGCAAGTGCAAATGTTAGCTTGATAGCCTATATATTTGAAACTTACCACCAGGTTCAAATACTGTGTCGTACTACAAAGACGAATAACTTCATATTAATGCAGACCTTTTTACCTTATCAGTATAAATTATTTAATCTAAGTAAATCAATGAAACTCATCTCTAAGCCATGTGACACAATACATGTAATTGTTCATTATATACTGAGTGGTCTGTCTCACGACGTCCACCAACATTCTTCATTGTGATATATGACACTCCTTACTGTGATTTATGATGTCACGTGACAACACTTCTTTATAAAAAGTTTTTCGCTGCACGTCTATTTTTTTGTCTATGTTTTAGGTACATGATTTTAAAGTTTTTATTAAAATCAACATTCACGCATATTGAAATCAACATGTGTACGCATCGTATTAATAAAATTGTATTTTATAATGTGTTAGAAGACGAGGAGAATATTTGGTAAAAAATACTAAATCTCCTTAAGTTGTTTGGGAAACAGTAGCAGTAAAACAAAATACTCAGCGTAATTAATTAAACACATTATTGCAAATTAATATGGAAATACACTACGGATAGATAGTTTAAACAACAGTAAATGTTTCATGGTACAACAAACTAATGGTAATACCTAATTAAGCGTTCTTTGCAACAATGCGCACAGAGAAAAAATATGCCCCTTTAGAATTATCGATCGCAACAGTTTTTACACTTCATTGATTATAAAACAAAAGTAAATTGCACATCTAAGTCGATATTTCAACTTCTAGGTAAAAATAGTCATTGCCTGAATTTTAACTGTATTTAAAACAAATATCTTAATAACATATTTTGTATCGTGTGTACGACCTGAGTGCATTTACACAATGTAACCAGATGTAATAATTAAAATTTAAGTTGTTAACTGTAATAAAACCAGTTGTACAGCATTGAACCTTTGAAAGCGTTCTCTGTAAACTAAAAGTAAGTCAAAAGCTATTCACCAAAGCCCTAAAGGAAAATAACTTTTTAATAACCAATTGGTCCGTTGTAAGCTCTAAAATCACAACTCTCATTTGTGAAAATAATAAGACCACACATTCTTAAAGTGTGTTACATCAGTTTGTATGATGTCACTCAGAAATGGTTTGTTGAAGGGAGTGGGTTTCTTGGAGGCACGGAATGGTCCTGCACTCCTTCCCTCCCTAAAATTCATGCGGGAATTGTGGATTGTAAACTGGGGTAGTTTTATGATGATTCAAAGACATTTTATCTGCTTTTATAAAAATAAATATAAGATTTGTTGTTTATGAAAGAATAAAATGAATGATTGGGTAAAAGATACTGGAGCTCAGTCCACGGGAAGAAAAAGGTAATGAATGCTCTCATCGAATTAAAACATTTTTGCCGTATGAATCCCAGACATATACTCACTCCCCTTGTCTTAAATGAATGCCTTGACCTCAGGCTTTAAATTAATGAACACCTGACTTTCTTACGTACACTTGTACGTATGTACAGCATGAGTAATACGAAAACAGCTGACTGTCAACAGGTGTTTCATTGTGTACTTACAATCGTCTGCAATGTCGTGCTGTTTCAGCATCGTCTGCCACGATCCCGACCTTCACATTGACACACCTAAGTGACTTAAATTTAAGATCAAGTATAGCGTGCTGTGAAAGGAGGGAAGAAGGGCATGCTGAAATAAGAAGTCATATTATTCCAGTAAAAAATCCAATATAATGAAATAAAATCTTAAAACTAACACTTGTTCTGTATGATATTGACCTTAGAAAATTAACAAAATTAATATCTTCACTTAACCAAAATAAACATTACAACCATTACTAACCCCCTCCCCTTTTTAATTTTCCCTCCCCTTTCTTTGATCGATCAAACCTTATATAAAAATCCCCCTAAAAACTTCTTGTCCTCTCTAAAGTCCATACTTTCCTACTTTACAACTCAAATATAGGCCTAATAATAAAATTTGAAAATGTTGATGTGTAACATGGTGAAGGGTACTCATCATTTCACGAACGCTGTCTTCAATCCTTGGTGGAGCTTTAATGAGATGATCTGAGCCGGAGACAGTCTACTGGTGAGAAGACGTCCATGGTTTGCAAACAGATCCCCAGACGGTTGTTAGGCCTCCGAGAAGGTGATACTGGTCCAGACTCCTCCAGACAACAGAGATGGTGTACTCTCTGACGATTTTTAACTCTGGGACTTGAACCCTAGGTCATGTTCCAAATTCGTACTATAGATACCTTCATTAATATCTTTATTTTAGTCTAATCACACATTTATTCAGCAAAGTTAATTTCCCACAAATTGTTTCTGAAGTCTAGTTTCTCCACAATACATTTTAACATAGAATACTGATAATTCTCATTTTGTTCTCATTGATAATAATTTAAAATAACCCCCTAAATAAAATCATTTGTATGCAAATCTTACTGAATTTACATAATAATAAAATTGACCACAAAGTAATTTTAAAACAACTGTCTCAAACAATTGTCAAACACATCTTTGTCCTGTAACGAATAACTAAATCCGTTTACTGTGACATTTTAATAAAACACAAATAACCTCAATTAAACATACCCTTCGTCCATATCGAAATAAATAACTCTTTAGACAAATCCTTAATAACTACCCCAAATCAATACAATATTAAAATCCTGTCGGTTCAACTAGAACATGACTTTGAAATCTACCTAATTTTTACCTTACAAAATCAAATTTAATCGAAATATTTTCTATGAACAGTTACTGATAGTTATAAAACTCATTTAGATTGACACAATGCTCTTTAAATTTAATCCTTTTTAAGATATAAAGCTTAAACTATTTTTTAGCACTTGTTGAAACCTGAGCCAAAAACACGTGGTGCTCAATCTTCATGTCTATCAAAATTTAAGTAAAAATTATTAATTGGTTTACCCAAAAATGCTTAGCTATATATTTACAAATTGAAGTTGTACTGATTTTTCCTGGAATAACCTTAAAACATAAATTGGTTAATTATTTGCATTACATACCTCCAAATCGAGGGAACAAGTTGACTGTCGGCCACAACTACGAAAAATGAGATTGAAACAACGTGGTTCCCTTCCAATCTATGAATCATCGCTACCCTTAAGCCTAGTCTCGAACACTTGCCACCAGACTGCGCGTTTGCAGTTATCAATGCTGGCATCGACTTGAACTAAGAAAAGCGGTATCTTCTAGTTTTCCAGGATTTGTATTAACATTCAATTCCATTACCTTAAAACCTATGAAAATAAAATATAATTTCTGTCACAATCGTGAAAAATCTCCCCTTTCAAACATAAAAATATTGTTTTGCAAATAAAAATAAAACGCACTTTTTTGTTATCGCCTTTTTTTCTCGGTGTCATAATTCACTCTCTAAGCCCTTCAAACAACACGTTTCGACGACCTAAAACCACAGACATTGAAAAGGAAACAAACCTTTCCATTATCTCTTATCAAACATCTGACCCAACAATCAAGGTTGCGTTCTCCACCGCCCGACTCATTTCAGATTACTTACATCTCCTCCCCTTTCATTACTCATAATTTTACTCAATTATTTTATATAATTGTCAAACTTCATTTTCAGTTCATTTAAAATTTCATGTTAGTAGCCTGGATTACCTTGCTAATCTTACTATCTCATAACATGAATTGATGAAATACCAATATACTCATTACTTCCTTCTCATAGGTCTCAAAATTTCTTATAAACTAACACATATTTATTTACAATATAATACAAGAAACATTACATTTGTTTAAAATACATCACTGAAAACACCAAATTTTTAAATAGGCGCCTATTTTATATACATTGTTATTCAAACATCAACATGGCATGAGAAATGTTATAATTTTAATTGCATACGCTTAATTCTACCTTTTTCTAATAATTTTCCAAATTTGCATAAACTACACACACATATTGGTCTTCTTTATACTGTTATGAAGAAAGAAACCTGGCCATGTAACTTCCTTCTAACAGACTGTGCGTGAAGAAGAGATAAGACCTTTGTTGCTTCATTCACTCACGTCCGAGCGTTAAGCAAATATTCCAATCGTATTGTAGTAAAATTCAATTCATTCATTTTATATTTTAGATGGATTTATTCTTTCACTTTTACCGATTACTAAAGTTTACTATCGGATTTCTGTCTATTCTGCGTCCCTAACAATAATCTTGTCATGCTTCGCTCTAAAGTATCAAGCTTCGCGTTCCATATCAATTAATTAATTGTGTCATTAATTCAGGCTTCGCTGATAACCTTCCACTTAGGCGTTCAATGCTACGTTATTATTCAGGCTTCACAACAAATATTCACATAAATCTACTAAGTTACTATGTACATATAATAATTTCTTATCTCATGTCATCATAATTGCCCTACTTTAATCATACCATCTTTAATTGATCAAGGTGCGCTCTTTGAACGATTTTAAAATCTGATACCTTTTGCAATAACACGGTTACAGGTGTCAAGAAGTGGATAATCCTAAACTTTTCGGACCATTTGTATGCAAGTTTTGCTTGGAATTTGGCTGCCTTGTTAGGTGTTGTAGACCTACTTATATGGTGAAGCCTTACATATACTTCGTCAAACAACTTAAATGAATGTTTACTCCCTTCTTTTACTAATCTCCGTTCCTTGGTTTTAGCATGAACAAGCCTTAGATTTCTTATCGCAGTACTAAACTTGGCCTTTATTCCTCCCTTATCAGTTGCATCACCGAGTAACTCCTTTACCTTCCACAATGTCGACAAACTACAATTTGGCTCAAAGTTGTACATAAGTTCAAATGCCGTGTGTTTGGTTACATCATTTACAGCAGTATTTATTGCTAACTGAAAATAATGCAAATTACTATCCCAGCTGTCATGACAATCGTGATGTAGAGCTACCATGATACCTTTTACAGTTTTTATGTAGCACTCGCTCTTATTCGATTTTGCATTATACGCCGCAATCCTGTGTAATTTCACACCATATTTGAAACAGAAATTATTAAACTCATTTCCTCTAAAGTAAGCAGCATTGTCACAAACAATGATCTCAGGCTTTCCTACATGTTTAAAAACCTGTGTTTCCAATGCCTTAACAATATTGCGTGTTTTTGCATCTCTTAATGGAACTAACCAGACATACTTGGTGAAATCATCTGTGTACTACCACTAACAACATACTATTGCCTATCTTACTCCTCGGGAAACTACCTGCAATGTCAAAATACAGCTTACTCATAGGTTTTGAAGCTTGGTAATCTACTATTTCTCCATGATACGTACGCTGACATTGTTTAGACCTAGAGCACTCCTCACACTTTCTTACATAATTTCATATGTCATCTAACATCCTTTCCCAGAAAAATATATGCTTTATCTTATTTGCTATTTTCGAAATACCTAAATGACATCCCGTGCTAACGCTGTTGTGAAAATAATGTAACGCCATATCTTTCATTGCTTCCGGTACTACAATCCGACCTTTTACTTTATTCGGTGGTTTGAATAATAACACTCCCTGACTTATCGTGTATGGTGACACCTTATCACCATTCTGTATCTGGTCTATTATCTTTGAAAGGCTTTCATCTTTTCGTTGGTGCTCACGTACCGGTATGTCAGTAAAGGCTGCTGGATAATCAGTTATTTATTACATTACTAAGGCTGACTTCCTTATTCATTACACAACTAAGGTTATTTACCAACTTATTTATCTGATCATCTGACATCTCACTTTCGACTTCAATATTGGAATATCCCTCAAACATCCTAGACAAGCAATCCGCAATCTTATTATCCTTACCTTTAATGTGCTTTGCTTTGAAAGGTAACCCCAATATTAACTCTGTCCAGCGTCCCAATTTACCTAACTTATTGTGGTGTGATAAAACCCAAGATAAACTTTGATTGTCCGTCTCTAAATAGAATGGCATAACTTCCAGGTAACTCCTGCACTTTTGAATCGACAGTACAACTGCTAATGCTTCCTTTTCGTAAACAGTAAGGTTTAGTTCCTGCTTTGTAAACTTCATAGAGTAATAATGGACTGGAAATCTAACACCATCGATCTCTTGCGACAACACTGACGTCAAACCTACTTAGCTCGCATCTTTTTGCAGTATAAAGGGCATGTCATAGTTTGGTAATCTTAACACGGGAGGGTTACTGATTAATTCTTTCAACTTTTGAAAATTAGCTTCACATTCAGATGTCCATATAAACCTCAGCGTTTTTCTTTCGTAACTCATTTAGAGGGGCACATAATATTGCATAATTTTCAATGAACCTCGAGTAAAAATTTATCATTCCAATAAACCTGCTTAGGGTTTTCACAGATGTTGGACTCTTATACTCCCTAATAGCGTTTGTCCTATCTGGGTCAACTTTCAATGTGTTGTGGAAAACCCGGTGTCCTAGGAAACGTATTTCCTCCACAGCAAACAGCACCTTACTTGGATTAACAGTCAAATTAGCTTTTGATAACCTATTTCCAACTTCCGTTAAATGTTCCATGTGTTACTCTGGATCTTTAGAGAAAACCACTATATCGTCAACAAACAAAATTACAGACTTGAATTTTAAGTCTCCAAAGACTCTATCTAGATAACTTGACAATAACCCAAATCCTAGGTGTAGTCCATAGGGACAACGGCGGTATTGGTAAAGTGAGTAAGGAGTGGAGAACACAGTTAGGTGCCTACTTTTCGGATCTAAGGGCACTTGATAATACGAATTGTTTAAATCTAGCACAGTGTAAATTGAAGCTCCGCTAAGATAGTTAAATGAGCCTTGTAATTCTCCTATAGGGTGCACGATAGGCTCAATCTTTGAATTTAGTTCTTTATAATTTGTCACTAACCTATGACCTTTCCCCTCCCCTTTACTAACTAGGAAACTAGTAGTCCGGCAGAATTTACCCGAACCTGGTTTTGTCCTATTAAGTTTTTTTTTATTGTTGATATGTGATATCTAGGGTTAGTAGACCCTAAAACCACCGGGTACTTTTTTGGTGCCCTTGGGCAACAGCTGCCATCTTGGAAAATGGCGGGAAACGTAATTTACAGTGTAAGCTTTTACTTAAACCAATATAATTAAAAATCTATTTAAGCTAGAGCAATACAAACTATTTTCAAACGTTTATGGTTAAATTCACTACTCAAAAATACCATATATTAAATATATATAATTTTTTTCAAGGTCAGTATTACTTTTCAAAATTTATAATTTATAAAAACATAATGATATATTTCTTTTTATTTTAATTTTGCGCATTAATTACTCAAAATATGACTATAATATGCATTATAAAGATTGTAGACATTTAAATTTGGCATCGAATACATCTATTGGATGCTTTGTTGGATCAAGGGTAACGTCAGAACTAAGCGTTAGAAAATTAATTATTTATTGATTTTCAATTAAAAATAAGGATATTTTTTATGTTTAGTAAAATTTTAACATCTTTCCTGAGACCATCTGGTACTTCTCACTGGCCGTCTTTGGTACTAAAATGTTTGTAAAATTACCAAAATTTCATATGAACTATTACCTATTTATATTTAAGGACTTTAAGGCCGATCTATTCATCTCCACTCCAAAGAAACAATATTTTTTCGAAAAGGAAAGTTAAAATTTTGATCAACCCAATGAGTTATTATTATTAGATGTTGTATATAATTGCAATAAAAACACTCAGTAAACAACTGGCTTCTATTTGACATGAAGATCACTAAAATTGAACGAGTCGGAGGAGAATTACAAGACTTCAACCAACGAAGACTTTAATGTTTGTAGAACTTTCTTTGAATAAAAGATTGTTACATCGAGTACTGATTGTGGGATGTTGTATTTTTCGATAATAATATACTTAGCCATCTACTAGCTTTCATTTGAGGCATCGGTCATTCAAATCCATCGGGTGTGAGGGGATTTATAGAACTTTATTAACTAACTAACATTTGAGTTTTTCCAAGATGTGTCTTTAATTATAGATATTATCTCCGGTTATAATTACGATACATGAAATGTTATATACTAGAATTACTCAGTGAGTTACTGGC